ATTTCTTTCACTACGCAACATTCTCACTAGAGCGTGACCCTCTCTATATATATTTATATAGAATCTGAATTTTTACTCAATTCATACTTAAAATCTAACTATAACTTTTACTCAACCTCACTATCCTCAATATTATTAATATAATTAAATGATATCAACCAATCATTCTTATATATGTTATATCATGCTTCAAATTGCTTGTGGGAACTTGCAAAGAACTGGCTAAGATCACAGCCAATTTCTGGTGGAGCAAAGGCAGAGACCATGAGAAAGGGATTCACTGGAAGAGATGTGACTTTTTATCCATCCCTAAGCTTAATGGAGGTCTGAGTTTTCATGACTTCAAGATCTTCAATGAAACTCTCATTCTCAAGCAACTATGGAGAATAACTTCTCAGCCACAACTTCTAGTCAGCCAAGTTCTCAAGAGAAGATACTTCCCAAACCCTTCTGTTTTTTAGGCTCAAAAGAAAACTTCTAGATCTTGGATGTGTAACAGCTGGCTCGAAGTGTTGCCTACATTCAAGTTAGGCATCTGGAATGAAGTTAGAGGAGGGCTTCAAACTAAGGTAAAAAAGGATGGATGGGTTCCTAAACTTGGCCTAAAGCACCTAGAAGAGTGAACAATGATTCTCCTCTGATCTATATCAGTGAGCTAATCCACGGAAATAGAAGACAATGGAATGAGAATCTCATACATGGTCTGTTTACCCAAACAGATGCACAAGCCATCTTGGATATACACTCTCTCTCTCTCAGCTGATCTTGAAGACATATGGAGATGAAGACTTGACAGCAAGGGGAATTCTTAGTAGCAGCATCATATGCTCATCTCATGGAGATCAAGTTGAGAGGCTTGGATTTTATAGAAGCAAGCAGGAGTAGACTCTCAAATATCAACATAAGACGAAGGAGTTGGAACTTCGAGTTAAAGGGAAATAAAGCATTTCATCTGGAAGTGCTTTACAGACATCCTGCTTGTTGGGGTCAACCTCAGGAAAAAAAAGACATTGACATTGATTCTATTTGCAGGCACTGTGAGGAGACTGAAGAGACCATAGATCACATGTTACTAACCTACAGAAGAGCTCAAGAAGTGTAGAAGGTCTCACCTTTACAGTGGGATGGCATCAATACAGAGCAAATCAGCTCAAAACTTGGTGGTGGCAAGTATGCTCCATCAATAAATCTGCTCAAAAGCCAAAATGCAACTGTCAACCTACATACTCTGATAGCTAGATCATCTCAAAACTTGGTGGTGGCAAGTATGCTCCATCAATAAATCTGCTCAAAAGCCAAAATACAACTGTCAACCTACATACTCTAGTAGCTATGGCCATCAAGAAATCTATGGCTATTTAACAAGGAACTAATGCCAGTGAAGATTGTTGTGAAGCAAGTGAAGATTGTTGTGAAGCGACTCTGATGGAGTGGCAAGAATTTTGTCATATTGTTTAGCATAATTGCTGGTTTCTCTGTCATATTGTTATGTTAGATGTTGAATGTCCGTTTTGTTGTATGCATAAATTTCCCTATAATTTTGCAGGGGATAGTGGATTTTGGCTTTCATATTTATGCTAAGTTTAACAAGTGTTTTTTACCTCAAATTTGGTTGGCGGGTCACTGTACAAATAGCAAGGAAAAAATAGCACCTACTCTAATCTAATAGTAATAATAACAATAACAATAATCTGAAGACATGTCAGGAAAGTAGCCTGCAGACAAAAGGGAGCGGCTAATTACACAAATAATTAAGACACTAATGACCGCAAACTCATCACAATTCACATGAGTTTATAAAGCTTGTTCTTCTTGAATATCAAAAACTCGGCTTCCATACGGTTCAGCAGGTCAACCACAGACTCTATTTTCGACCCATTGAAATGTTCCAAGACATCAGACAGCAAAACCTGTGTCACAAAAATCAATTAATATGTATTCAACTTGCCCATCACAAAACATACAACACAGAAAAAACTCACCCCATTCTCGAAATTCTTGAGCCAGTCGAGCAAAGAATCCTCATTCACCTCCAAAGCAACACACGACTCGGCACCTGATGCATCAAGTTTTTGGCGCTTTCTTGTAGAACAAGTTAAATCATCAATGCCATCCACCTGCTGTTTTGTATCTACATCGTTGGAAATCTCGTGAACTTCAGAGTCTTTTGTTGGCCCATTTTGAGGTTCATCTACTTTGCAGTCTCCCTGAAGACTGGGCACAATAACTTCTAATTTCCCCATCTCTTGCAGTATCAAGCAGACCTTTATCTGGCTATAAGTTACCTGAACAGTGTTATAAGGAAGATTATTCTACTTGTGTTTTCAAGAATAAATAGTGAATCTCGTGCAGTAATGTTCCACAAGCAAAAGCATGTGTACCTCTTCAGGTAATTCATTTTTTATCGGTTTTAACTTGTATTTTCCAACTTTTTCCACGGCTGTTAGCACGTTCTTGATTATCTCCTGCGTTAGCCCCATCTCCAGACATAATCTGACCCAATCAATCGAACATCCCTCTCTTGCGGCTTCAAAAATATACTCATGGACAGTTGTTTCTTTTATTGGGGCCGCTCTACCTGGATAATTCTGAAATAAATAAATAAATAAATAAAAGTTAACAACAACAAAAACAAAAATTAACATGATTTGCAAGACTTACAGCAATTTGTTGGAATGTATATCCATCTTCTTGCCACATCTTCCAAGCTTCGAACTTTGCAGATGTTAGTCTTTTGTTGTTGTGAATGGTAGCAACCTTACTTGGCATAGGAGGTTCTTGAATTTGCTCCCCATCCAGAGAGAGGCCAAGTTCTTTCGACAGTTGCTGAATGACTTGTACAAAACAATCTCCGTATTTTGTCATAAAGTACTGCAGCGAAAATTTCCAAATTAGAACCACCAACT